GACTCTACACCACTGTTTTTTTTGTTTTGTTTTGTTTTGTTTTGTTTTAAATAAAGACAGGGTTTCACCATGTTGGTCAGGCTGGTCTTGAACTCCCGACCTCAGGTGACCTGCCCGCCTTGGCCTCCAAAGTGCTTGGATTACAGGCGTGAGCCACCACACCTGGCCTACACCACTGGTTTTTCTTATTATCCTGGAAATCTTGGCTAATCTGAGTTTCTGCCACAGAATAGAGGCAGTTTGCAAATTGTGTCCTCCTTAAATGTCTGAGTGTCAAAGATTGTGTCTAAGAGGAAGTCTTACACTTTCCCCAGCCTTACTTATTCTTTATATGCTCAGTGAACTGATGAAACCAACCAACAGATTTCACTTTGCAGGGACCCAGCTCTGCTAGCATCAAAGGATAAGTCTAAGTCTAACCAGCAGTGTGTAGACAAAGCTGCTCACCACAGCCTTCCACCGTAGCCCATGTTCTACTATGCTAGCCCATTGTTCTGTGATCTTTATCCCATATTCTTCAGCCTTGATAGAGACTAGTCTGGGCTCCCCATGGGAACAGTCAGGGCACTGATTTTCACACATAGTTGGGAACTTGATATTTATATGAATGCCTCAGGATTTAGTGAGAAGAGATCCCCTGGGGTCAGTGACAGTGAAGCCTGGACAGTACTAAGGCTTACTGCTGGCTGAGGCACAGGTAGGAGAAAGTGGCACTTTGTCCTGTAGTCTAGGGATTGTGGGGTTGGCCTGGCAGGCGGGGAGTGGGCGTGGACAGGAAGCCCTGATAAGGGAATGTGGGCCTGTCTTTTGGGTAGCGGTTATTTCTGCTTTGCATCTTGGCCTATAGTTCCCTCTTCTCCTTCTCTTAGCAGGTGAACCAGGATGTGAGCCGGCAGCTGCTTCAGGATGGGTATCACCTGGATGAGATTCCAGATGACGAGGACTTAGACCTCATCCCCCCTAAGCCCATGGCTTCTTCAACGTGCTCCTGCTGCTGGTGCTGTCTTGGGGACTCTTCCTCCTGTACCCTCCAGTAGACATTACCCTCCAAAATGGGCCCTGTTCACCATGAGGCCTACAGAGCCCTGTTGGCCACTCAGCTCACAGAGTGCAGTGAGCACTGGGGTCACTGACCCCTAGAAAGTGACCTGCAGGTAGTCCTTACCTGTTGCTTCTCAGGCCAGAGGCCCCCATCTGGGCTGTGGGGTGATAGGTAGGATTCTGCAGATTTCTTCTGCTGCTGGAGCAGAGTTTGGAGAAGCCACTTTAATAAGGGCAGGACAGAGGAATTCTGGTTCTTGTGGTGGGTGACAAAGGTAACTAAGGAAAACAGTTGCAGACAGCTTGACTGGTATTTGTCATGGTGCTTCAGGGAGGCACAAAGAGCTCTTGTGCCAGGCTGGGCTAGGTAATGTTGTATGGAGGCAGAAAATAGCACTTTATGCTTATATAGCTGGCAATCCAAAAAAGAGGTTAACTGTTTTGAGAGCAGTTCGAGAAATTCCATTTGCCCTGTTCTTCCTGGCTCTAAGACGGGTTGCAGGCGTGACCTTCAAGAGAGCATAAAGTGAGTCCTTTTGTCCCTCTTCAGGCTGCACCTGTCTATGACAGGGATAGCAAGTTGCTTAATGACACAGCATGATCCTGGCTTCCAGAATCCCTGGACCTGGGGCATCCCCAACTGGTCCAACTGTCTGGGTGAGTTTAGTGACTCTGGTTCGCCCTTCCCTAGTTAGAGAAAAGCTGCTTCAACATGTTCATATTTATTTATTTGTATTTCCTTGGTCTGGGCTTATTTCTTTCCCAGTCTTTGAGCTAAAGATTGGGTGGAAGGTACTGGGGCTGGCCCCAGAAGATTGCAGTTTTTGTTAATACCAGCAGAGGGAGCTACAGGAGAGCAGTCCAGTGCCTTCCTATTTGTTTCGCTTTTTAAACTTTTGAAAAGTAGCAATGGGTGAGTGGGTATAGAGCAGTGTGGGCTTTGTCCTAGACTGAGGCTTACAGACAGGAATGGGAACGAAGACCTAGGCCAGCTCCTAGGCCCTTGGCTGAGATCAGTCGGTCAGCGTAAAGGGCCTCCTCCCTTCTGTCCGGTGTGGACCATTCCATTGCCAGATTCTTCTGGTCACAGCATGGGCCTCATTGGATACTCAGGATTGGGCTCTAAGCAGACCTCTGGGTGTAACACAGCCTCTTTCAGCCCCCAGGCCAAACACAGCAGAAATAGGCATAATTTCTGCTGTGGCACCCCCTGCTCCCATATTGGCGAGTGTCTCTTGCTACACAGTATACCAAGCCTCTTTCTAGAATTTTTTTCAATAGGTGTTTTTTGTTTCGTTTTTTGGCCTCACCCAGGACCATGGTGAGTGTTCTGCTTTGTTTTATCGGAGACAGGGTCTCTGTCACCCAGGCTGGAGTACAATGGTGCAGTTATAGCTCACTGCAGCCTCCACCTCTCAGGCCCAAGCAGTCCTCCCACATGGTGAGCTTTGAATGGGAACAGACAGGGTTCCCAGCCCAGTAGTCGGGATTGGGGTGTAGGTTCCACATGGGAAAATATCCAGTCTCTTGCTTTACTCAGTGTTCTATGATCACTGGAGGCATAGGAGAGACAGCACACTCTTTTTGCTCTACCACAAGGGGTGACTGGAAGATGAGAAAGTCTAATAAAAAGATACGGCGTTATTTGTTATTTGTCAGACAAGTGTCCTCACGACGGTAATCCTGTGAGTGCTTGATGGACATCTTTGTGTTTTTCTCAAACTGTGGAAGTTTGAGAGGAATATGCAGTATCTGGGGGCTGACTTACTCTCTTAGCTAGCAGCATCACGGCAGGAAGACAGGACAGAGACCAGAGCCATGCCAACTTGGGGTTGGGGGAGAGGAGGCAGATGGTTACTCTGTTCTGGAATGGGACTCTGCAACTCTACGCAGGTGGCTAATATTCTGAGCACTTTGTGCAGATGCCTGCGGGGAGCACGAACATCTCCATCCTGACCCCCTTCACCATCCACAGAGATGGGGGCCTTGTGTCTGCAGAGGTGAAGTGCACATGTGGAAAGGGATCAAACATAGTACAGTGTAAAGACAGCGGTGTGGGTGGAAGGACCCAGCGCTTGCTGGGAGGTGGCCGTGGAAGCTAAGTATAGAGCCACGTCTCTGTCGGAGGTGGTCAGGGCAGAGTAGTCTGGGTGTTTAGCAGCTGCTGGGGTGAGGGTGGCAGGACCCCAAAACCAAGGCCCTCTGTTGTATCAACTCTGGCATATTCAGCTGCAACTGTCCTTGAAGAAGAGGTTTCTAAGCTGGGTCCCATGTAGGAGGGTGTTACCCTGTAGAAAAAGCTGGAGGGACCTGGTGGGACATTATGCAGTGAGGCATGGTAGAAACGGTCAGTTGTTTAGGGCCAGTAGCCACATACCAAAATACCACCAATGTGCCCAGGGCCAAACTGCCTTAATTCAGAGTGCTGGGTGTTCTGCAGGTGACAGTTTACTGGGGAGAGGGGTGTGTCCAGGCTCACCTCCCAGACACGAGTGGTACCATATGGTGTTTATGTACTACTCTACCAAATGCTTGGCTTGCACCTCTACAGCTCTGTACATTTATAAGAATAAATGCAATCACACTAGTTGAGCTGTGTCTATGTTGCATTAGGATTTTAAAGAAAGGTCTGGATATCCTGAAATGAAGAAATAGCTTAATAGTCTACTACAGCAATTCCTTCTAGAAACTCCCTCCCCTTTCTGCTCTTCCCAGGGGGCACCACTTTCGGGCCTGTTTCATTGGACAGCATGAGTGAAATAGGCCCTTACAAGTCACTTCTCTAAAATGGGTTCCCTTTAGCAGACTTTTTCTAGCTCATCTTTTTTGTTTTTTTTTTTGAGACAGAGTCTTGCTCTGTTGCCCAGGCTGGAGTGCAGTGGCATGATCTCGGCTCACTGCAACCTCTGCCTCCTGGGTTCAAGCGATTCTCCTGCTTCAGGCTCCCAAGAAGTTGGGATTACAGGTGCATGCCACCACGCCCGGCTTATTTTTGTTTTTAGTGGAGATGCAGTTTCACCATGTTAGTCAGGCTGGTCTCGAACTCCTCACCTCGTGATCCACCTGCCTCAGCCTCCCAAAGTGCTGGGATTACAGGCATGAGCCACCGTGCATGGCCTCCAGCTCATCTTTATTGTTTTTAGCTGAAGAAAATTTGAAGGCAAAAAACACAGGAGATTTTTTGAAGGTGGTTTCCTGGAACTCTAGTGTGGGCAGAAGCCCAGAAAGATTCTTTTCTTTGAATTTAAACCTTTACCTCACAGGAAGGAGCCAGTGGATTAAGACTGATTAGTCTCGGATGACAGTATCTATGATTGCAGGTCAGAAACGTGAGCAGCGACAGACAGCCGACAGCCTCTCGCAGGTGTGTCCCACCCCTGGAGCAGGGCATTGGGAGAGATTCCCTCTTACGTATTTCGTGCCAGCTTAGGAAAGCTAACTGGGCTTCTTCTCACAATGAAAATTGGCTAGTTCAGTTCCTGAGTCCCTGTAATCTGCAACAGTTGAGTATGTTCTAGAGAAGGGGTTGACAATCAGTAGTTTGGGCTTTGCGGGCCATACGGTCTAGTGCAACTCTTCAACTTTGCCCCTGTGGCTTGAAAGCAGCCAGACAGTATATAAATGAACAGGTTTGGCCAGAACTGGCCTGCCAGCCTGGTTTGCTGACCCCTGCTCTAGGGCCAATTGAAAAACGGGAGCAAAGAATCTTGCACTGATGATTGGTGTATCCTTTGAGCCACCTTCTCTCTGTAGGGCTGAAGGACCCAAGGCCTGCTTGCAAGCTGTGCCTCTGAGGCTGAAGCTGGCTTCCTCTTCCACTCCTTCCCATACAAGTGTTCTGGAGTATAGTTGACCCACCCCCAGGAAACTGTGAAGTAGGAATAAAGCAAAAACTGGGGCATCATGCAAGGAGGGCACTTTCGGCCCATTTTAGGAACAGGTACCCCAAAGGCTGAGTGCTCATTACCCCACAGCCTCAACACAAGTGACTTTTAATTGCTTTGACAGAACAAGAGGGTGTAAACAATGTTAGTCCACAGGACTGCCCTTTCCCTTCCCTCCTCTGCAGCTGAGGAAATGGGTAGTCCCAGGGTAAGAACACTGTTCTTGGAAATTACCTGACCTCTTGCTCTGACAGATGCTGAGCTAATGCTGGGTCACAGATTTTGCCGGCTAGCCTGCAGCCATAGGCTAGAGCAGAGTTGGCAAGAGCCTGGCTCAGGTGTAGTCGGGAGTCACTACCTTCAGGCTCCCTCCACCACCCCAGCTCTTCCAGGGTGTACCTAAGGGGTCCAGAGCAAGAAAGGGGGCTTGAGCTGAGCCTGAGGAGGTGAGGCTGGCTGGAATTTAGGGTGACTGGCAGAGGAGAGCTAGGGAGGCTGTGGCCTCTACAGCAAACAGCAGGCACGGAATATCAGCAGATTCTTCGGCTCAGTAAGCTTCAGTGAGACGCTCTCATTGGCCCCAATGAAGAGCACGCTGCCACGCTGCAGAGGGATTGGCGTCTGGGCTATTGGTGTGCTGGCTGTCACTGTTCCCTGTACCATCAGGAGGATGCTGGCAGAGTCCAGTGGCAAGACCTTGTATTCAGTGATGGAGCCAGGGACCTGGGCAGGGAAAAACAATAGCAGTGCAGCTTAGACTCTGCTCTCATCAGTTCATGTGCCCAGGACAGTCCGCAGGGCACAAGGGAGAGCTCTGCCATCTTCTCCCACAACCCAGGCTCAGCATGGAGGCCTGGTCCCTGGTACAGGGAGGAGGGGGCAGGCCCTGGGCCACCCCCCACCAAGTGGGCTTGACAGGAAACCCAACCCCAGGAGTCCTCCACATCATGACCCTTGCCAGATTTTCATGGCACACGAAGGACACCTGCCATGGCCCCTCACTCACCTCCATCTTCATAATGGTGAAGTCTGGCACAGGGGGGTCATAGATTGAGAGGTAGGGGTCTTCCTGACTCCGTGTTGGGAGAAAGAGCCTGTCCTTGCTGGAGCTAGGGGTATAGCTGAGCATTTCACACAGGGTTGGCACGTCAATGAACTTGGGTGTCAGGCCAGCACGCACTGTGTTGTCTGAACACGCCATGCACTCCACGCAGTCTGGAGAGACAGTTGTTATGTGCTAAGCTGGTGAAGTATGACTTGGCTCTCCAGCTCTGGGCCTCTTAACCTGAGCTTGAACCCCATGCCAAGTTAGGCAAAAACGTCCATGAATTGTATTCTCTGGGATAATGGGGCTAAGATAATCAAATACCAAAAACAGGTGACAGGTCACCCACTATTGTCAGAGGGGAGTCATGTTAACCCCTGGGGGTTGGGGAGCCCCAACTCTCATCTCCAACTTCTAGCACAGCATCCTGTGCATGAGGCATGTGTGGATAAGCAGCCAACAGCCAAAAGGTGGCATCCTTCCGTGGCAACATCCATATTTTAGTGTAAAAATCCCTGGATAGGGAGGACAGACAGGCAAAAGCTGTGAAATAGAACAGCTTGGATTCAGTATAGCCTGGGTTCAAAGCGTGGTTCCCACACTGGCTAGCAGGGCTTAAAATCAGAGTAGCATGACACAGGTTTGGTGGCAGGATTCAAGCCATGTTCAATGTGAAATGCATTCATCATCCCTACCAGCTGTCTCCTGCTGCGCCCAGGAACCCTCAGAGGTCAGCGCTGTGTGGTCCTTGGAGGTCTCCTTGACCACCCTTCTCCCTCTTTTGTCTAGATAGGGAAACAGGGCCTAGCAGGGATGGCAATGGGGCTCACTGCTGAAATGAGGCTCACCTCCTTTCAGATAGGCATGGGGCACATTGGCCTCCAGAAACATGGCCTCCCCAGGCTTCAGGGTAAGCAGGTTCAGGAAGTAGATGGCAAAGCAGCCGATATCACCTGGGTACTGCTGGTGCAGCTGCATCAAAAGCTCCCCAGAGATGTCCTCCATGTTGTTTCCGGCAGCCACTGAGGGTCACAGAGCACCCCAAGGTCACTTAGGGGGATACTCAGTGCTGTTCATAGCCCCACCCTAGCCAGGGAGTCCTGGGAAAAGTTCCCTGCCCACAGGAATCCAGAAGCCAAAGTAGCCCTGTCCTTCTGGCCACACCTTCAGCCCTTTGGGGTCCAGCCTTGCTTGATACTCCACTCCATACAAATGCCATCTTAGGCCACTCCAGACAGCATGAAGCAGAATGAGCCAAGGGCCAAAATGTGCCCTGGAGACGATAGGGGAAAATGAGCTCAGCCTGGGTAGAGTGGCAAGGACAGGCTTTTTAATTTTTTAATTTTTTTTTTTAAGACAGTCCTGCTCTGTCTCCCAGGCTGGAGTAGAGTGGTGCCATCTAGACTCACTCTAACCTCCCCGTCCCAGGTTCAAGTGCTTCTCGTGCCGCCTCAGCCTTCCGAGTAGTTTGGATTACAGGCACACGCCACCATGCCTGGCCAATTTTGTTTTTGTTTTTTAGATGGAGCCTTGCTGTATCACCCAGGCCAGAGTGCAGTGGCACAATCTCGGCTCACCGCAACTTCCGCCTCGCCTGGCTAATTTTTGCATTTTTAGTAGAGATGGGGTTTTACCATGTTGGCCAGGCTGGTCTCAAACTCCTGACCTCAAGTGATCCACCTGCCTCAGCCTCCCAAAAGTGCTGGGATTACAGGCATAAGCCACCACGCCCAGCCAGCTTCTTTAAAGTGAGGCAGGGGGTCTGGCATGGTGGCTCATACCTGTAGTCCTAGCACTTTGGGAGGCAAAAGCAGGCAGATTGCCTGAGCTCAGAAGTTTGAGACAAGCCTCGGCAACATGGTGAAATCCCGTCTCTACTAAAATATAAAAAATTGGCCGGGCGCGGTGGCTCACGCCTGTAATCCCACCACTTTGGGAGGCCGAGGCAGGTGGATCACGAGGTCAAGAGATCGAGACCATCCTGGTCAACATGGTGAAACCCCGTCTCTACTAAAAATACAAAAAATTAGCTGGGCATGGTGGCGCGTGCCTGTAATCCCAGCTACTCAGGAGGCTGAGACAGGAGAATTGCCTGAACCTAGGAGGCGGAGGTTGCAGTGAGCCGAGATCGCGCCATTGCACTCCAGCCTGGGTAACAAGAGTGAAACTCTGTCTCAAAAAAAAAAAAAAAAAAAAAAATTAGCTGGGCATGGTGGTGCATGCCTGTAATCCCGCTACTCAGGAGGCTGAGGCAGTAGAATTGCTTGAACCCAGGAGGCAGAGGTTGCAGTGAGCCAAGATCACGCCACTGCATTCCAGCCTAGGACAACAGAGCAAGACCCTATCTCAAAAAATGAAAGCACATACACACACATACACACAGAGACACTGAACAGGAAAAAATAGGTCTCAAAAAATAAAGCGCGCACACACACACACACACACACAGAGAACAGGAAAAAATATGCGTGGGTAAAATAAATGATGCCCTAAGGCTCAAAGGTAGCAGGGAAAGAAGTTGAGACCTCATCACCTGTGCCACATAAGCTCACTGCTGGGAGTCTGTTCTGCTTTGTGATTCTTACTGCTTGTGTTGACTCCCCACCTTTGGGGTGACATGACCACACCCATCACAGTCATTTCCTGAACTCTTCTTATCACAGGGTCAGGCACACAGCAGGTAAAGGAAAGATCAAACGACTGAGCGCTGGAGGCATCAAGCCTTTCCAGGAGAGGGAGGATGCTCTTGTCCCCTTCCTGCCTCTTTAGCTCCAAGATACAAGTCCCTACATGGAGGGCAGCTGTGAGGCTGGGGAAAATCTCAGAATGCCTAGGTGGAAGGCATCCTAAGAGTCTTCTACGCTGGCCGGGTGCGGTGGCTCACGCCTGTAATCCCAGCACTTTGGGAGGCCAAGGTGGGCAGATCATGAGGTCAGGAGATCGAGACCATCCTGGCTAACATGGTGAAACCCTGTCTCTACTAATATACAAAAAATTGGCCAGCCATGGTGGTGTGAGCCTTTAGTCCCAGCTACTCAGGAGGCTGAGGCAGAATTGCTTGAACCCAGGAGGTGGAGGTTGCAGTGAGCCGAGATCGTGCCAGTGCACTCCAGTCTGGGCAACAGAGCGCGACTCTGTCTCAAAAAAAAAAGTCTTCTATGCCAGTCTGCCTCCAGCCATCTGGAGAAGATGACTGATTGGGAAACAGCACTCAGCCAAGGGCCCGGCTCCACAAAGACTAGGAAAGCAATGCTAAGTTGCCAGCAGGTCACCTAAGCTGGGCCCCTTCTAGTGTTCCACTTGGGCAGAGGAGTTGAGAACCCTGTTCCCAGAGTCTGGTATCTGCAGGGGAGCCCAGGCCAGAGTTCGGCACCCACCCAAGAATATAACCATGCCTACCTTGCTGCGAGATCCGCTTCACCAACAGGTTGAGCTGTTCCACTACCACCTTCTTCTCACTCTTCATCAGGTGGGAGAAACAGCTCTTCAGAGCAGAGGCCACAGCCTGGGAGTCATGGCTCATGCTCTGCTTCAGGTGTGTTGCTGCATCACCTCCAATCAGGACCTGGAACTCGGGTACCTCTGCAGGAAGGCCAGGCCCAGGGCCCATATCAGGAATGGTAAGATGGAACCCACACAAGAAGGGAGTTGGAAGAGGCCTTCCCATCCCAGCCCTAACCAAAGTGCCAGCAGTGATAAGCAAACTTTGCAGTGGAAACCAGTCACTCACCACCAGCCCTTGGCAACCACACCTGAGCCTGGTCTGGCCCACTGGCTCCAAAAACTGCTTCATGAGGCCCTTCAGTGCCTGTGACATGTGACCTCTGTTCTCCGCCAATGTTCCTACTATCATCTGGGTTCCCTAGGTATCCCTGGCCCAATACACATGCCCTCAGCATTCTGCCCAACTTACTCTTCAGAAAGGTTACAATCTCCTCAACAGGCCGGAAGCCACACAAGCCCTGGAAGGGGGTGAGGGCAATGGCCATCTCTGGCTTATGGTTGGCATCGGGGTAGTGCTGTGGAGCCTGGAGGTGTAGCTTCTCTGCCAGCTCCTGTGGGGTGGCCAGGGGAAGAGGAGGACGGTGAGGGTAGCCATTAACTAGCAGGGACACCAGTGCTACCCAGCCCTTGCTCTCTACCCTCCTCAGTCGCAGGATGGCAGTGGTTGCCTACTTCTGGCAAGGAGCCCAGTCAAAGCATGATGCAGAAACTTGGAGTTCAGCCTACCCAGGGTAGGGAAATGGGCCAAATCCAGGGGACAGCTGGGGTGGATTCTAAGAGGCTTGGTCTGTGAATCAGGAAACCCAAACACCAGGCCAAGCTCTGACATGAACAAGCTGTGTGGCTTTCGGCAAATCCCTCCATTCTCTGGGTCTTACTTTGTGTATCTAGAAATAAGGCGTTTTGGCTGGGTGCAGAGGCTCACGCCTGTAATCCCAACACTTTGGGAGGCTGAGGCAGGCAGATCACTTGAGGAGTTTGACACCAGCCAGGCCAACATGGTGAAACCCCGTCTCTACTAAAGATACAAAAATTAGCCAGGCATGGTGGCACATGCCTGTAAATCCCAGCTATTTGGGAAGCTGCGGCAGGAGAATTGCTTGAACCAGGAGGAGGAGGTAGCAGTGAGCCGAGATCACACCATTGCACTCCAGCCTGGGTGACAGAGTGAGACTCCATCTCAGAAAAAACAAAAAGGAGTTTGGATCCACAATTACTTAGGATAGGACTCAGGCTTGTGTAGGGAGACTCCATGGGGTGGAGCTGAGGGTACCTGCCCTGCCCTGCCCTGCAAGTTGAACTCTTCCTGAAAGCAGATGAGTAAATGGCAGATATGAATAGACCTGGGCTAGGTGAGGGAAGACCAGGAACAAGCCCCTTGGAATGAGCTTAGAGAAACCCCTGGCACCGGCCAGTCAGCTGTTTGCTTAGACTTAGTTGCTGCATGTGTCACCACCATCTGGCTTTGCAGAGCTAAACTGGGAGTTGTCAGCCTGGATTTGGCCTTGGGCAGGAGCCTGGCGTGGGTGGGGTAAAAGCGGCAGTAAAAGTCATGGGAGGGCCTCAGCATAAGCCTTACTCTACCCTGACCTCTGCACCCTACTCTGTCCTTTACCTTGTTGGGGTGTGCCTGGATGGACAGGGCTGTTTCGACTGAGAGCACTTTGAAGAGGAAGGGCAGGTTGCCATTAAAGGTGTCCTTGACCTTTGAGCCCAAGCTGTCCTGGTTCTCAGCAATCCACTGTCCAAGGGTTTTCTGTGAGATGCGGTTGTCAAGGATCTTGGCATCCCCTCGGGGGTGAGTCCCCATCCACAACTGGAAAAACAGGAAATTTGGGAGGGGGGGGAAGAAACCTGGCACCCCGAGTTGGCCTGTCCCAAATGGTTATGCTGTGCTCCCCACAGGGCAACTGAGTCCTAGGAAAGGCCTCCCAGGTCTGAATACAAATGTTCATGCCATCATGGACATACAGGCAGCAGACCCAGGTCCTGTGAGGGGTTAACATACATCTTCCAGTTTCAGAAGCAGAGGTGAAAGCCTTCCTATGCTTTGGCTTTTTCTCCACTAAATAGGCAGGATAAATATTTTAGGTTAATAAAAATGCAAAAGAAAATAGTCGAAGTAAAAAAACTTAATTGTCAAAGATGGCGGAATTAAAATTCACTAAGTGCTAAGAGTGGTTGGGGGAGGAGAATGCTGGAAATCTCAGCTTATTATGATAAAACCTCTCTTCTTGTGGTACCACGATAGTCTATCAGCCTGAAGAGCCAAGTGGGCCTCCTCCCTCTTTGCTGCCTCACCCTTCCCAGCTAGATTCTTACTTGTCTCAGGCCCTTTCTCCTGACCTGCGGGGAGAGTAGGCTGAAATAGGGCCCGAGGCTCACCTCTGCATAGGGCTTGTCCTCTGCGATCTGGGCCAGTGGGTCACTGCTGGCCAGCAGCCGCGCCACTTCGCTGTTAGAACCCATCTTCCCCCAGGCATACTGCTGCACCGCACAGGAAAGTGGGAATACTGGGGGTACAGACAGAGGGTCAGCTGCCGCTCCACTCCTCAGGCCCCACCTTAGTGTCCAGGGAAACCAGGCAAGAGCTGGGGGTGCTCACTTGGGAGAGTCAAATAAGGGGTTTGTAGGCTGTTGGACGAGACCCACCTCCGCTGCAGGCCTCGATGTTCCCAGCTGTGAGATGGGCAGCAAGGACCTTGTGCTGACCTGAGGCCGGGTGGCGAGGAGGGAGCGGGCGGTACCCATCCCACGGCACCCAGTCTGGAAGGCCCCCTCCCCTCGGAGGTCAATCCCCATTGCAGGTGACCCCTCCTCTGCCTGGCACCCAACCATCTTTCCGCAGAGCCCCAGGAGTGGACTCAACCTGGCCGACTATCCCAGGATTCGTCCCCAGGACGCGCCTCACCCACCACACTTGCCGACACCACGGCCAATGGCTCACCTCGCGGAACGGCCATACTCGCCCCTTAACGCTTGGCTTAAGCTCGTAAGCCTTTCCCGGCAGACCCCGCGGCCCTCTGCTCCCAGAGCTTCATGGGAAATGTAGTTCCCAGAGCGTTCCGCCCGGCCCCTGGGCACCCGGCCAGAGGCTTCCGGCCGCAATTTTCGGTCTCTCCATTCATTCATTCCTTCCGTCGCCGGACACAAAGGTATTAAAAACCAGCTAAGTACCACGGACAGTTCTAAAGGCTGGAGTATACATCAGAAAGCAAGATAGCCTTCCCTCTGCCTTTGTAGAGCGCTTACATTCTGGTGAAGGCAAGACCGACAAGTATTGTAAGCAAATCACGTAGTGTGTTGAAAGGTCAAGGCCACAAAAAGTAAGGGGGGGCAGGTAGAAGTGGGAGTCACTTTACAGAATTTCAAAGGCTGTCTGGGCAAGCCTTATTGAGGTGAGGTTTGGGCCCAGACTTGGCGGTGAGGAAGGCAGGAGTGTTCTGTGGGGAAGGAAATAGCCACAGCGGGAGCCAGAGCAAGACGGCAATATGGGACTGTGCTGGGCATGTTCGGGAGTGACCAGCAAGGAGGCCACTGTGGCTGGAGCAGAGTGAGCAAGAGAGGGGCAGTGAGGAAGTCAGAGAGGAGAGGCGAGGGCAGAGCTTTGCAGGCTATTGTGAGGACTGGGTTTTACTCAGTCTCTCAGCAGTTAGAGATTTGAGCAAAGAATTGCTGTGAGTAGGGACATACTAGTGATGATGGTAAATGTCACATGCAACGCCCTTCACTTCTCTGAGCTTTGTAGAATGGGGTGAATAATGCCAGCCTGATACGCTTGTTGGAGGGTCAGATGGGATGATGTGTGACACCTGTAAGGTAGTCAGTGCTCTGTGCTCCTCTGATCCTTCCTGTCCCAGGTGCTGCAGAAAGTCAGAACCCCAACTCCTCCTCCAGGCTGAGCTGCTTACAAGTTGCACACAGAAAAGTCGGGGGAGTTACCAAGAGCTATGCATGGGGAAGGATGGGGTTGGGCCTTGGCTCTGCAGTAATCTTGCTGTATCCTGTGGAGAAAGGCGTTGACATCCAGACCTCCCCAGTCAACAGCTTCCTAGGAGGAGGGCAGTCAGCTGGAGGGACTCAGGAGCACAGCAGTAAAAGCTCCAGGGAACCTGGAATGAGGGGTTACAGTTCCCGAGTCTAACCTCATCACCCTGGCAATACCCTGATTCCCACAGCCTCTACCTCATGTGCCCAGGGGAAAGAGGGGATGCTGTTTTCCCTGTAATGCTCTGCCCAGGTGTGGGTATTTACCTCACCTCCCCTGGGGTCCTCTGGCCCAGATAAATCAGTCTGCATTTCAAAGGAAGCTTTACCACACACTAAAGAATAATAAAATGGATAACACAAGACTCATGAAACAACGAAGCTCAATAACTTCTACTTTGGAATACCACTCCTTCCCCTCATCTCCACTCCCCAAGTGATATGGTTCAGCTCTGTGTCCCCACCCAAATCTCATCTCGAATTGTAATCCCCACATGTTGAGGGAAGGACATGGTGGGAAGTGACTTGATCATGGGGGTGGTTCCCCACGCTGTTCTCATGATAGTGAGTACTGACCTGAGCTGATGGTTTTATTCATTTATTTTCCTTTTTTTTTTTTTTTTTTAAGACAGTCTCGCTCTTGTCCGCCAGGCTGGAGTGTAATGGCATGATCTCGGCTCACTGCAGCCTCTGCCTGGTTCAACCAATCCTCCTGCCTCAGCCTCCCAAATAGCTGGGATTACAGGCACCCGCCACCATGCCCTGCTAATTTTTCTATTTTTAGTAGAGACAGGGTTTCACCGTGTTGGCCAGGCTGGTCTTGAACTCCTGACCTCAGGTGATCCGCCTGCTTCAGCCTCCCAAAGTGCTTGGATTACAGGCATGAGCCACCGAGCCCGGCCAGAGCTGATGGTTTTAAACTGTGGCACTTCCTCATTCTCACTCTCTCCTGCTGCCATCTAAGACGTGCCTTGCCTCCCCTTCACCTTCTGTCATAAGTTCCTGAGGCCTCCCCAGCCATGTAGAACTGTGAGTCAATTAAACCACTTTCCTTTATAATTTACCCAGCTTCAGGTATTTTTTTATAGCAGTGTGAAAATGGACTAATACACTCCTGTATGCTACAAGTTTGTGCCTTAGTGACAATAACAATAATAGCTTTTGTAGAACATTTAAGATGCATTCGTTATTATTTAAAGCCCACTACAGGTTTACCTCATTTTAAGCTGTACGGTAACCATAGAAGCTGATACTCTAATCTCTGTTTTACC